GCTTGCACACAATGGTGATGTTTGTAAATAATAACACGGAGGAGGAAGTTGAACATCTCAAGGAAATGGCCAAATATGACATATTCAGGCCGGCTGTTGTCTCTCTTAGATCTGGTAAGTACGGACGAAGTGCCTGAGGTGGGGACCCTGTGCACATTTTGCGGGTGAAACTGAGTGTGCCTCTACATTATAGTTTTCATTCACAACAGTTTCCCATGCAAGTGAATTGGTCAGCGCCATAGTCGGCCTCTGACACTCTGTAACTCTAGCCCGATTCTCAGATGCTTCACATATGTCATGCACGATCGAGAGAGAGAGAGAGAGAGAGTGCATGGCCACGAACATTTAAGAATCAGGCTACTGTAACCCTAACTCTATATACACTTGTAGTGTACTGTTTCAAATTTCACCATGATTAGTCGTACTAGCTAAGGTATGTCAATCGAAGGTGAATCTTCTGGATTTAAATTCTTAGTGAACACACCCATGCTTACATGTTTAGAAAGATAAAGAAAAATTTGTTGTCATGTCTTTACATGTACACCCACCATGAAGTTTAAAAATGGAGAATTCCAAATGACCGTCATGCAGAGAATGGCAAGGAAATGTACTAAAAAGTGGAAATTTTCTGTTATATATGTGTGTCCACATTAGCTGGGTGTTTGCAGTCGACCTTCCTTGAATTGAATTAGGAGATGGTTGATATAGGAAACATGCACAGTACATGTACTTGTGACTGGCCTAATTTTAGAATGGGACATCAGTTTGAATACATTTGAAATCTGGGTGGCACATACACTGTAGGTACAGTTCCTTAAAACCCACCCAAGATCTCCCCCCCACCCCCCACTACCCTTTAACACCCACTGCCAAGTATTTAGAAGCAAATAAAACCATAAATTATTAAAATTGATGTCATAAACCATTTCAATGCCAGCTCCCAGTTCGCTTGCTAGCTCAGTTGGTTAGACCATCGCACCGGTATAGCAGAGGTCAGGGTTTGAATCCCTGCAAGCCTGAATTTTTTAGGCTTTCTTTCCACAACTGCATAAGTTGTTATTATTTGACTATGATGATCTTCTCTGCCTTAATTTATTTTTTCATCACACACTTCAAATATATGAAATTCATATATTCATCATTTCACAATGAGGTTGTGTTTGTCTATGTAGATGATAGTGACCTTGTTTACTGGGCAGCTGGATTACTGCATCAGTTTGCCATTCAGGATCTCCACAAGACAGAAATATGTGCCATCCCAAACATCATCAAATCACTTCAAAATGTGCTGTGTTCAAGTGAAGCTATCCTACAGAGGTTGATCCTTCGTGTTGTCAGTTTCCTCTGTGTTGGAAATCAGTCATTCCGTAGTAGCGTTCTTCATTGCTCTTCACTTGTGGCTCGACTGCCGATTTGTCTTGCTTCTGGTGACAGTGATATTGTGCACTGGGCAGTAGTCTTACTTCATGATCTTCTGCTTTCAGAAGGTTTGTTTAATGCTCTACTAGAATTTTAAGATATTTCTAGAACTGTAGCCTGCTAATGCAGATGCATTTCTGGTCGTTTCTCCACTCAACCCAGGTAGAGAGAAGAGAAGAATGGAAGTAATAATTTATTTATGCCTGCATTTGCAGTCTACTAGAACTGTGCAATACCATATAACTGACTATGTACTTGTCTGTAAATATAAGGTGCTACATGTAAGACTTTGCTTTAATTCTGTTTTATTACCATGAAATGAGAATAATGCTTATTGCTTATTGTATCCCATAGTGACTTTAATTAGGACTGATCACAGATACATGTAGAATGAATATGAAAGTTTTCTCCATTCCCACACTTAGATTTTTTTTTATGTAATACTAAGTATTAATGAAATAAAACCTCACCTATCTACCATTTCTCTGGTAACTCTATAATGATTCTTTTCATCTTAGGATCTCCAAATGCAAACCGTGCAGCAGCTCTTAGAGTGCTTTCTGTAGCTAGTGATATTATAAAGGCCCTTGTACCACTGGCAGCTAGAAAAGATAACATCTTGATTCGTTTGGTAGCAGAACTACTGGGTCTGTTTTGTACTGTTGGTAAGTCAATACCGTATTTCCTTGAATAATAGCTGGGGGCAATTATTATTTTTTTTTTTTGCACAAAAAGGGGGCGATTATTTGAGGGGAGGTGATTATTCGAGGGAGATGATTAATTCAGATATTGCTCACTGGAAATCATGCCGTAAATATTTTATTTACTATCCCAGGCATTAAATCAAAAATTAACGATCACATCAAATAAACCAAACACATGGGCTTTTTATGTGTGAATCTCCAAGTTTGGTTCCTTGATTAATTCTGCAACGTCAGAGTTTGAATCATCACTGATCAGTTTTGCTGGATCAGACTCCACTTCGTCTTGACAGGGAGGGGATAAAAGAAGGGGAAGGTAGCGAGAGGGGTTGTGTGGCGATTATTTGAGGGAGGCGATTATTTTAAATATTTCCGTCTGG